TTCGCACAGTCAAGATATTAACAAGTAATGAGAAATACCTTGGTAAAAGTTTCCTCATAACCTTGTGTATGAGACATGTGGGAAAAGCTTAATTCACCTTAAGATCCCTCCTACAAATGCAATTTTTTTTTCTTTTCAACAAATAATTACAATCAATTGAAATGTTTCCATTATTATGCTGAGTTTGACCCATTGTTCCACCAAGATAACAGAAAACCTTTGAATGTTTCCCTCGATTGCAGGTGCAGGCTGTTCGATAAAACCGAAGAACGAGGACTGTCCCAATGAGTGCAACGATCAGGGTCGCTGCGTGGACGGCAAGTGTGTCTGCTTTGCTGGTTACAGTGGGCCAGACTGCAGCCAGTCCAACTGTCCTGGCAACTGCAACAACAACGGGAGGTGTGAGAACGGAGAGTGYGCATGCGACCCTGGCTTCTCTGGTCTTGACTGCTCCCAGAGAGTCTGCCCAGATAACTGCAACAGCCAGGGCAGGTGTGTGAATGGCAAATGTGTGTGTGACAGTGGCTTCACAGGTCCAAGTTGCTCAGAAGAATCCTGCCCTGGTAACTGCAACAGGAGGGGGCGCTGTGTGAATGGACAGTGTGTGTGTAATCCTGGATTCACAGGTTCAGACTGCACTAAAAGGGCCTGTCCCAACAACTGCAACAATCGTGGGAGGTGTGTTAATGGTAAATGTATCTGCAAAAGTGGTTTTACCAATGCAGATTGCTCTGAGAAAGCCTGTCCGAGAAACTGCAACAACAAGGGAAACTGCATCAATGGACAGTGTGTTTGTAATGATGGATTTACTGGAGCAGACTGCTCTAAAATGTCTTGTCCCAACAACTGCAGCAACCGTGGGAGGTGTATTAATGGTAAATGTGTTTGTGACAATGGTTTTACCAATGTAGACTGCTCAGAGATTGCCTGTCCTGGTAACTGCAACAACAAGGGAAATTGCATCAATGGACAGTGTGTTTGTAATGATGGGTTTACTGGTGCAGACTGCTCTGAAAAGTCTTGCCCCAACAACTGCAACAATCGTGGTAYGTGTGTTGATGGTGAATGTGTCTGCGACAGTGGTTTCACCAGCAAAGACTGCTCTGAAATAGCCTGTCCAGAAAACTGCAACAACAGGGGGCGCTGCATCAGTGGACAATGTGTTTGTAATGCTGGTTTTACTGGAGCAGACTGCTCTGAACAGGCTTGCCCCAACAACTGCAATAATCGTGGAAGGTGTGTTGATGGTGAATGTGTCTGCAACAATGGCTTCACCAGCGAAGACTGCTCCGAGATAGCCTGCCCTGGGAATTGCAACAACAAGGGAAATTGCATTAATGGTCAATGTGTTTGTAATGATGGGTTTACTGGTGCAGACTGCTCTGAACAGGCTTGCCCCAACAACTGCAATAATCGCGGAAGGTGTGTTGATGGTGAATGTGTCTGCAACAATGGCTTCACCAGTGAAGACTGCTCTGAGATTGCCTGCCCTGGGAATTGCAACAACAGGGGGCGCTGCATCAGTGGGCAATGTGTTTGCAATGTTGGATTCACTGGCACAGATTGCCTGGAAAAAGCATGCCGTAACAGTTGTAACCAAGTTGGGAGGTGTGTTGATGGAGAGTGTGTCTGCAACAGTGGCTTTACTGGTACTGACTGCTCTGAGATTGCCTGTCCTGGTAACTGCAACAACAGGGGGCGCTGTATTAGTGGACAATGTGTTTGTGATGATGGATTTACTGGAGCGGACTGCTCTGCAAAGGCTTGCCCCAACAGCTGCAACAACCGCGGTAGGTGTGTTGATGGCAAATGTGTCTGTGACAGTGGTTTCACCGGAGACGACTGCTCAGAGATCKCCTGTCCTGGGGACTGCAACAACAGGGGGCGCTGTATCAATGGACAATGTGTTTGTCATGATGGATTTACGAGCACTGACTGTTCTGAAAAGGCTTGCCCCAACAACTGCAATAATCGTGGAAGGTGCATGAATGGGAAGTGTGTTTGCAATGTTGGCTTCGCAGGACCAGACTGTTCTGCCAAGGGCTGTCCCAACAACTGCAACAACAAAGGACGATGCTTCAAAGGGAGATGTGTKTGTCGGCCTGGATTTACTGGACCGGACTGCAACCAATGTCAAGAGGGCAAAACYGGACCTAAATGTAATATTGGTGAGTCACCACAATACACAATACATATACACTATAATACTTGGAGGTAGCCTGTAATGGAAAAAAAAGCTAGTCTTGCTTTTACTGGTTGTAATTGCATGTTTGACAGAATGGATAGGTTGCAGCACATCGTAGACCTTTGGTCCAGTAATGGTAGGAAAGATGTTTGTTAAAACCTGTTTTTTATGCAATGACAGAAGMTAAAATACTGTATTTTAAAAGATGACATTATTAACAAAGTTTAGCTCACCCAGTCCTTAAGCAGCTTTCAGTGAAGTCATGAAAATTGGTGCTTATTCTTGAAACCCATTAATTGCATGCCTTGCACAAAATTAGTTTTGCAGTAAATGTAGTAAACGTAAAATGAGTGCCAAAACATACTTCAAATGCACTCATTTCACTCAACTTTGGCAGAAATGTTGTCAATCATGCTGTATGTTACCATTATGTCCAATTCAATTGGCCTATGTCAACACAGCAATGGCTACAACACAGTTTTACAGATGTTGAGGTGAAATTTGCTGTGGTAGCTGTGAGTGATTCTCAGCACTTACTCTGCATGTGTTTTCTTGCACTAGCCTAAGACTGCTTAACGCAATTTACAAGGTGTGACTAAAACACCTATTTTCTCAGARTGACGTGATCTTCATTTAAAACTCTTGAATGAAAGGTGGTGGGCGATATGCACACCTTCAAGGAATACCAGGCCTTTATTTATCTAGTTCCAAAACAAGTGCAGAAACATCATCTTTCAACATCATTTCTTGGGGATAAACGTCTTCCCTTTTAGTTGTGTTTTCTTGCTGTTGCTTTGTGTTGTTGTCAGGGTGTGTTAGCGCATTAGCTCGTCTGTTTGGAGCTGCTTCAAGCTGCAATCATTCCAGTGACGGAACCGTTTCATTAACTGTGGAGTGGGCCAAAACCTGCTCCTCATAAAAAAAATTTAAATAAAAAATAAAAAAAACTTGTGTTTTTCTGCTAAATGGCTTTTTGTGCTGCACAAGGCTGACACAGGACAGAAAAGTGTTCCTGAGTGTTAAGTGTTCCCTCAATTGTGGCCAACCACTTACTGTACTTTTTGGATGGATGTCTAGTAATCGGAGCACAGTGGGGAGCAGAAACTTGTTTTCATGCACATGCTTATTTGGAATTTGTGCAAAAATGCCTGAGCAGAGTTYCTGTTACTGAGAAGTTGCTGCTGACAAGTGAAAAACAAGCCAAAAGTTTCAAAAAGACTCAAAAGTGTCCTCCTCTGCTTCTTTCCACTCTTCAAAATCCGACACTAATTCACAAATTTAAGAAWACTTTCAAAATGAAAATAATAGTAGTGGTACAAATATGTTCAGCAATTAGCTCAGTGTACTTTTGTACTTTTGTTACATGTGGGCTCTTGATGCTACAAACTGGAGATATTCTCCAAGTTATTAAAATAAAGACTTCTTTATGGCATTGTCCTCACGAAGACCCTTTATTAAGTGGAAGCAGGTGAGTTAATTGCAAATGCTGACAGATGAGGATGAAAAGGCATGACAGGCTAAGTGCTGTTCATTTTAATAACGGATGTTTAATAATAACTATTAAACTGGAAAATAATAAAAAAAACAGTGACTTCTTTCTGAGAAAGTACTCGTAGACTTCCTTGCAGCACTTGTGTGACTCGCATGCTGGATTTTGTTAATTGCCACAAGGAGCATTACATCAGGCTCCCAGTGAGTGGTGGATTCTTCAGCTCTAATTTTACAAGACTTTTTTTGCAGTAAAACAAGTCTGTGAATTATTATCGCAGTTCGCCGTCATCATGTGTGGTTAAACATCATCTGCGTGGCTCCTCCGGGCTCTGAGAATGAGTGAAAGTTGTACAAGAGGCCGGATCGCTCTGAGCCACTGGTGGGGCTTTAGTTGGAGTTGTCGGTAAAATTAAACAAGGATTTAGTTCAACTTGGTCCAATTTTCAATAAAGATGGATTAAAAAAYGGTGTGCCCTTTTTCTTAAAGCACTCGGAGTAGTTGTTGAAGATGACTCTGCAGCAATCACCAAATTATAGCTCAGTATCTGTAAAAATGACTGTTTTAGCCATTTTTTGTGCTAATATCAGTTAAACATTAAACAGTTGTCCAACAATTAGTTTTTGAGAGTTTTATAAAAATCTGATATATTTTTTTTACGACAGATGAGACAGGGTTGACTCGCCTGTCATTTTAAACTAAAGTTTCAGGAGGTTTTTAATCTTAAATTGAAGCGAATGTTAGTTTTTCGTGATTGAAGACATTAATCATTCACAATTTTCTCTCCAGACTTTTTAAAATGTCAAATTTATAATTTTTATTTCACCTCACCTAAAAAAA